GATAAAGTTCAATGCCGTGCGTGTTGTTTGACGTTCCTAACAGAACCCAACACTTCATGACTTGTGTTGGGCGGAATCTTTAGCATAAGGACAATGGAGGCGCACGGTCTTCTAGCTTGATGTTGGGAGAATCACTTGACTACAACAATGTAACATCACGCACGGCTATGAACTTGGACCGAACACTCCCATGTACACACTTACTCACACGGCACATGCACATGAACTCGAGAAAAACGCACCACATAACACCCGGCATTTTGTGCATGAGCTTGAACAAAAATATACTAACACTTGAACTTAGAATGCACACGGCAAATATGCACGGCATTTAGCTTAAGCTTGGATTAATTAATGCTTAATCCTTCGATTATGTTTAATTATTTAATTAAACACAATGCTAAATTACCAAAATTATTTCGAACGTAAACAGTACGTCGAAAATATTTTCCGGTAATTTTGACTGAAATAACTGAAATTAATTAATTCCGAAAAATAATATCGGAACTAAAATATTATTATACTGATAAAAAGTCGGGATATTACACTTACGCTTCCGCTAATGATATTTTGATGACTTGTGACGATGTTTTTGATGACTTTTGACGTACTCATTTTGACGAACTTATCTTTTGATAAACTTTTGAGAAACTTATGCTTTCGGTAACCGGACGATTTTATTAAAATTAAAACAACGGTTTTCTAAATTAAGTCACGATTTTAAGGTAGCACCCCGAATCAGTTTTCGCAAAGTGAAAAGGCTTCATTTTTAAATAACTTTGCAAATTTTTTTTTCGCACTCTGATTTAACGATAAGGAGGGGTGTTACAAATTTTCTATAACTTGAAGCCTCAAAACACTTCTATGGGGAGTGTAGAATGAGGTAAGAGTGATAAAATGTGGTTGGTATTAAGTTTTGGTGGCTAGAACTCAAGAACACTCCAAACAGTGCACTCGGGATTTAAAGTTTCACTCTCGGCTATATGCTTTAAGGGAGTGTTTAGCTCGAATATTTGAGGGAACTTTACTCAAATCTTCTAAGTATCAAAACGGAGCTTTAATGTGGTTGAAAGAGAGCTTAAATAGGGTGATTTGGGCGTGATAAATAAGGCTCACAATGGAGACAAAGTTGGAGACAAGGGTGGAGATACCATTTCCAAGGTACTAAAGCATGCATGTGGCTTGAAGTGGAGCACTATGGCTGATTACCTTCTCTGGACGAGCATCTTAAGGTGGGAGGGAATCTGATTCTACACTAAGAGCTAAGGTGGGGAGCATATACTTACACCACAACATATTAAATTCATGCCCATGCTAGCCATTTATATAGAATAATCTAATTCAAGAGTTGACTTTGCTAATCAATTCTTGGGGCTGAACTTAAGCTTAAACTTGCTAATTGCATCTCTAATATATGCGCATAAACTTAGGATTCGTCGATTCGAGATGAAGTTCAGGTCACAACGGTTCGATTAAAACTGATATGGCTTCGGCTTACGCGATTAAACCAAAAATTCAAACGGTGATCGGTGAAATAAATCGAACGACTCGTAAGATTATATTAATCATTCAATAATATAATATATAGCCACGTTATCAAGGAATTTAGAAAAATAAAACTAAAATGCCATTAATCAAAATAAAAATCGAAACAATCCAATATTCGAATGGGGCGCTACAGTTGACCTTTTCCTTACTCTTCACAAGTATATCACCAACGTAGACCTCAATGTTCTGTCCGAGCTGCTCTTTGATATGTTGCTCCAGCATTTTTCAGACCAAATGGCAACACCATGTAGCAATACGTTCCTCTGCTCGTCACAAGACTGACCCGCTATCTATCTTTTCGAGCCAAAGGGATCTGTAACGCCCCACTTTGAATTAACGAAAATCCCAGGCTTTTTAGAAATATCAATTTAATTTTTCCAGCTCATTTCAACAATTATGGCGTTACCCATATATTCCCAACTCATTTCATAAATAAGGTCATCGCTGTAACACCCCTCCTTACTGTAAATATCAGAGTACGCTAAAATTCGCAAAGTCTTT